GCACCCACATTTGCCGTCCGCTCGGCCCCTGCCCCATATTGTGTGGCCCTTCTTCTGTAAGGGGTGGGACCAGGCCTCATTCTACTGTCCCCCTGTGCCCACCCCCCTGTCCAGTCCTGGCACAAATGGATGCCCAAGAGTGTCCACTGAACGAACCAAAGAATGAATGGATGGATGATGGGTGGATGGTGGATGGATAGATGGATGGAAGGATGGCTGGATGGATGGGTAAATGGATGGACGGATGATGGATGGAAGGATGAAGTGATGGATGATGGATGGATGGATGGTAGGATGGAGGTATGGATGTGGATGATGGATGGATGGACAGAAGGATGAAGTGATGGATGATGGATGGAGGTATGGATGATGGATGGATGGTAGGATGGAGGTATGGATGTGGATGATGGATGGATGGACAGATGGATGGATGGCTTCATGGGTGCCTGGTTGAATCCTGGTCGCTCTCTCCCCTGCCCCCTGAAAGCAGGGTCTGTTCTCTGGGCTGTGGGCGGTGGCATTTCCTGTGAGGCCCTCCTCCCATTTGACAGAAAAGAACTCCGAGGCTCCAGGGGATCAAAGGATGTGTCTAGGGAGCAATGGAATTGGGGGTCCTGGTGGCACGTGGGGTTTGTCAGGATTCGAACTCAACTCGGTGGCACAGGGTTTGGATTTGTGTTGCGCTGAGATGCCAGGGATTGAGCATGAGAGGCATTGGCCACGTCAATCCCCAGGACAGCCCTGCGGAGCAGGAATCAGGCCCTCCCAGGGCCGGTGAGGGAGGGGGGGGGCGCGAGGACACCCCACTTCACAGACAAGGATGTGAAGGCCTGGGCTTTATCCATCAATGGCAGAGGACGGGTCTGGACCCAGGCTTCGATGTCCAGATGGGCTGGGGCCAGGTTTGCCCACCCATCCCAGGACGAGCTGTGGGCGGAGCCTGACTGATGCCCAGAGCCCAGAAGTGTTAACAGCCAGTAGGGACCTCCTAGGCCACAGTGGGGGAGAGGGGTTGGGGGGCTGAGAGATAAGAGCACCTCATATCCAGAGCCCCGAGGGCATCCTGGTCCCAATAGCGGGCAGGGCCTCTGAGCCATGTCTGAAGCAGGTGGCTGGGGACCAGGGCCTCTCTTTCAACACCTGATTTCCTGACACAAGGGTGCCCACACACATCTTTAAACGGGAGCCTGGGGCAGCAGGAGAGCCTTGGGCTGAGACCTCCCCAGGCTCGAGTCCAGTCTGAGTTTGCCTCAGTTTCCACACCTGGAAAATGGGATTGAAGAGCCCACAGCGATGCCCACATGAGCTCTTGGGAGATGGCCGAGCAGGAAGGAGCCCCACCTGGACCACCCCATTAAAAGGAGAACCACATCCACGAGTGAGGGTCCCACTGGGTCTTTGTGTTCACCTGCCGCAGAAGGACCAACTCGTGGTCAGCTCTGAGTGGAGGGGTGGGGGGGGGGGGGGGGACACTCTGACCAGCAGTAGCAGAAGGTCCCGGTGCTGGTCAGCAGGCTAATTGCTAGCCAACCCTGCCGCCATGCCAGGCTGGCACAATCTCCTGACTGTGGCTTGGCCACCCAGCTCTTGGGTGCCCGTGTTGAAAGGTCGGGAGCTCAGACTAGTCCTCCGGAGTCCCCGAGGCCACTACGATGAGACCCGGGACAGGCTTGGCCACCTCCTCTGAGATGGTCTGTACTCCAAAGGCCGGCACCCCCCACCCCCCACCCCCGGCCCCTGGAGGAGTGGGGCGCAGGCACTGCTCATGTTTGAAAGTCCATCTCTGCAGAGTGATGTAGGGGGTCCTGGGCATTCCAACCCTTACAAGTTGATCCTCTCCCCACCTCCCCATCCCCAGGAGAGATGGGACTTCTTGGGCTCCGGCTCCCTGTTGTAAATATACACAATGCTCTCAGGACCCCGGGGTCCAGGGCAGCAGGGTCACATGCCCCCATCCGACTGGCAGGGCTGGTTTTTTCCAGGATGGTCAGCCCTTTCTTCCTGGCAACCTCCAGGTGGTGAGTGCACTAACAGTTGGTGCCACCCCGGGCCCACTTCTCTCAACGTGGGGGACGCCCGGATTCACAGTGACCGCGGGGTGTGCAGAGCGGGCTTTCCAGGTAGTGACCTTTCAGAACCTGGCAGCCAGGCCTTTCTTCCGAGGTACCTGGTGGTAGTTTTGAACAACCAACCTTTCGTCACCGCCCAGGGTCTCCAGTTAATCTCCTGTTCAGGTGTCAGCTCCTGAGTGACAACCCCCCCACCCCGCCCCACCTAGCTCAGGGACCCCCAGCGGTGTACTGGCAGCCTGACAAAGCGGTCAGAGTACAGTGAAGCTCATTTCATTACAGCGAGATCCCCTCTCCCTGTGCCTTGTCTCCGGCTCCAATCTAATGCCTCCTTTGTTCGTGGGAAACTGGCAGGCAGCTAAACCCCATCATGACGACGATTGTGATTTCAGAAAATTAATCCTCTGAATAGCTAAGTGGGCCCGCGGCTGCCTCCTGGGACCCCCGTAGTTAAAGCTCCAGAACGCCCTCAATTCCAGGCAAGCATGGGCCCTGACTGCAGGGAGGTCCCCGTGAGGACGGCAGGCTGGTGATGACAGGGTGGCAGCGGGGTGGTGGTGGTGGGGGGAGACACACAGCCAGTGTCCAGAGACACCCAGGCTCACCGCTGCCAGACAGTACCAGGTTTGGGCTGAGCCCCGGACCCTCAAGAGCAGAAACGTGAACCAGCGATTAAGAAACAGCAAGGGCACCTTATGTAGAAAAGACGGCAGCCGTCAGGCCCGGAGGAAAGAGCAAGTAATTGAATAAGGGACTGAGAACAAGGGTGAAACCACAGGGGGGAACCTCTGCTAATTATGGCTGGCAGCGAGCAGGCAGGAGGGCCCGCCTGGAAGAGGGGTGGGCAGTGGAGTGTATCTTTCCCTTCCTGCTTTGTAACCTTTAAAACACCTTCCTTCACGTAGAACTAACTGCGTTTCCTCCAAGGAAGGCGTGTAGGCTGAGCCGGACGGGGACTGGCCTCGTGAATTGCAAGCATGCCACATAGGTGTCCCCCACAGAGGGAGACGGGTGCTCTGGTGGGCTAAGTGGAGGGCTGCTCCC